TTTTTTTTTTTTTTTTTTTTTTTTTTTTTTTTTTTTTTTTTTTTTTTTTGCGATTGTATCAACACTAGGACCGTCTCAAACAAATGGAAATGGATGGACTCGAAGCCATCAGCCGGGGAAAGAAGAGGCATCTGTATGCTACAGGAGAAACGCGTTCTGGTATTGCCCATTTCCTCGTGCGTAAAGAAATTCGTCGTCTATAGGCTCTCATCTCTTGTAGGTCACGTCACTTGTGACCCTGTTGGGGGTCACATTTTCATATCCATCTCGGATTTGTTTTAAACCAACTTTGTGAGCAACGTCAATCCAGTTGCTTAGGCAATACGTTTTGGATCAAGAATCAAGGCCTTATTTCTGGAGTAGAATTGAGTTATTAAAGTCTGCGTTCCGAGTCTAACGCATAAGCCCCCAAGAAGACAAGTGGAGCATACACCGGATTCTCCGGTCCCTTTGCGATGAATCCTTCAGGTTTTCAAGCAGCTTTTGCAGGAGTTTCCCCCAGACTTTCTTCAAGTCTAGGACACCATTATCTACTACCACGGACAATATGAACTGACCGCTGACGGCGTGTCTCTGATATGTTCTGAACGTTGTTCGAGCAGAATTTCAGCATAGTTATCCTACACTAGAAACCACAATTGTCATGTCCATTGCAGCATCAAGCAGCTTTGAAGTTGCCATGGGTCGACTTTGCTTTTGTAAAACATCGTTTCAAGCTTGGTTTTCTCCATAATTCTCCTCATTTCAGGATAACAACATGGAGCATGGTGTATAGCCCAGTGGGTGTGCAGAACCCACTTCTTCCCTATACCAGTTGCAAATGTAAAGTCAGGTCTCAGACTGTAAAGAGCACCCAGAGCATGGATAATCTATAATACACGTCCATAAGCGCCTGTTAATGGGCTGAGGCCTTTTGACTTTACAACAACTCATCAAAATTCATAAGATGCCCCCAACCCACCAAAAGAAGGGCTATCCACTTATTACACCATGCTCTAACCCGCTTCACCCGACTCTCTCACAAATATCGATGGAGCCATCCACGATCTCCCCCCAAGAATACCCAGTCTATTACTTCTGCTACTGCACTTTAAAGGGCCCCGCCCCGCTACTTTAAAAGAATCCTAGACCTCTCAGAAGAAGAATAACCAAAACTCCGACCCGCTAATATCATTGGCTACACGCTAGCTAAATGGGGTGATTATCCTGCTTTGATTGACAGTGAGCAGAAGCAGGTAGATTCTGGGTGTGCTTGGCTTGTAAAGGATGAAGAGCAGGCACAGAATTTTGCGTGTTCTGAGACGAGGGTATATAAGTGTTTTCTTGTCAGATTCGGTTTACAGATGGCGAGGCGCCAGAAGTAGTGTCTGGGAGGATGTTTACGTATGCTGGGGGTCAACAGACTTTGCTGGAGCAGTAGTCTGATCGGAAGCTGTGGGTTTTGCAGATGCGTGGGAGGTTGAGTTAGGGTAGCTGTTACTGATAAGTGACGTAGTTTCAATGGATTTCACAGAGTTCCTTTGGCAGTTTAATTAGAAAGATGAGGCAGCGGAGCATTATGTCAACAAATGCCAGGGTTGGGTGTCATCTTCTTCCAGTTACTGAGTATATTTCATGCAAACGCGCTTGATTTTAGCCCATATTTGACATCATTAACACTCCAACATCCGCACAATGAACTCACATTCCCAAGACCCAGAGTTCATTGAAGGTACGTATATGAAAAGCGTTACCAAATGACACTGGCTGACAGAAACAGAGCCCACAGTGCTATACGTAGCTGCCATTGGAACACGCAAGGTCATTGACCAAAGGTCAAGTGATAAAATCAAGCGCCAGTGTCCATGGATTCGAAGCAAGCAATTTACAGTATATTTCCGAGCATACCACAATCACAGTCCCACGAGTCCATGAAACCCAACGAGATGAAAACGGGATGGCGAAAGCCATTTTTATGGACCTCATACCAGGAACACGACTGGACAAGGCCTGGCCTAGCATGACCGATCAACAGAAAACAGCACTAGCTCAAGAGCTTCATGGCTAAATCCAGCAACTGCGCGGCTTGGAATGCGACTCTATTGGTGCTCCAGATCGTGGAAAGGCAGTGGTAGGGAAATATGTCCTCCACTTGGACGGACCGCCAGTTCAATCAATTTCTACTCCCAACAATTTTCAATACAGCCCCAGATTCTCTCTGTTACTTTGCAACTTCATCTTTCAAGGAAGATCATGAGATGGTTTTTGCGCATAGTTATCTGGCGCCGAGGAATATACTAGTTACTGAAGATGGTCATGCCACGGCGGTTCTGGATTGGGAGAATACTAGCTGGTACCTTAGGTATCGGGAGTATGTGGGAGCGTACAGTGAGTGAAATGCTCTTCCGGGCTGATCTCGTTATCTCTCGATTATTCTTCTGCTGCAGTAGGGGCTGAGGTAAGAAATAGTTGATGTACGATTGTGTGATGAAGCTATCTAGAGATCTATTAGTCGGAAGAAGAATTTTTGAGCAATATGTACAAGTTGAGCAAATTGAAGGATAACTAATCAATCATGACGCCTCCAAGGAGCTTCCTTATCCAATCTCTCCCACCTTCGATCCCAACCCGTAACCACTTCATTCCGAGCATCATCATTGGAAATGGCCAAAAATGGTTGTTGAGTTCTCAACTTTGAAGTAGTAGTGAGATCATCAGCCTCTGGGCGCTCGTATCCCGAGAGTTCCAGAACCCTATCTGGGGCAGAATATGCGCTGTCAAAATCCACATTCAGATCCAATGCGAGGCTATCCTCGTACCATTGAAATGACGGGCCGGCAAGGTCGTCCGAGGATGCAAAGTCAAGGCGGAAAACACCGTCTACCACACCTGTGTAGATCGTTGGTGATATTTCAGATGGCGAGGACATCGTGTATATCGGGCCACGGTAGGAGCTGGGATTTCCTCGAGAGCGCCCGCGGTTTGAACGTTTGAGTCCCGGGGGTGGATGGGATAGGAAAAGAGAGAAATCCTTCCGTGGGTACCTAAGTGAATCTTGAATCCCGTCTGTGCCCGAGTAGTTTTCGTTTGATTTGTCGCTAGGATGCGAGAATGCTGGGTACCTTCCATTTAGATAGCTGTAAGGGTTATGCACACGGAGATCGAAGAACTTAAGCACCGCATCGCCGCCTGCACCAACCGCAAAACGGTCATGGCCAAATGGATGGACACAATATATGGGGTTGCCATCCGTTGTGTCTCTATACATTGCCTCGTATGCTTTGCTTGTGCGAAGATCATGAAGTCTGAATATTGTCAGTTGCTGCTTGTGTGGGACTGGAAGTGGGGGTCTGAAAAAGGCAAAACATACCTGACGGCCCTATCGCCCCATGAAGATAGAAAAATATTGCCCGACTCTCCAGTTTGCCCAGTTAGCGATGCAATCGCACTAATCATATTGGTCTTCCGATTTAAACCAACGCGTTCCTCGAATCCCAGGGATTCGGAGCTGATTTCCCGATATAGTGATACATTATCAGGCGTGATCGTAGAAATAGACAATGTATTTTCGAGGCGCCCTGTACCTACTGCTAACAGAGTCGGCGACAAGAATTTAGAATAATTGTTACGCGTGAAGCCCTCGTGACCGAGCCGTGCAAAGGGATGGACGTCGGGCTCGTCTGTCGTAGTATGGTAAAGTGCAATGGAGCCATTCTCAAAGTGAGCAGCCAGAATAGGCTCTGGGCCATCACTGAGGTCAATGCGTTCAAGCTCAGTTCCATGCGTCACAAACTCCTGTTCGTAGTCATGGGTTGTGTCATCCGGTGAAATTGAGAGGTGATGAAGCTCTCCACGAACACGACCGAAAATCAGATGCTCTTTGTCATCGGGGCCTTGTATATAATGGTCTGACTTGAGAAGGTGAATACCACAAATATCATCGTAGCTGCTAACATGGTCCAAGTCATTGAACACAACCCACTTGTCAGACTGATGAAAACCAGTCTGTCTGACACGAAGAACAATCTCATCCGCAGCACCCCAGGCAAGAACCTCCTTGCGGTCTGACCACAGATCACCGTTCCATACCTCGTACGAGTCAATGACAGGGCGATACCCAAGAGTAGGGGCGTCCGCCCTTGTGCTCCGGTGGGAACCAACTTTGATCGCATCTCGTGGCGGAACAATGAACCGACCTACCACCGCATTTTTGTCGAGGGCTCGTGATCGAGATGTCAGAGCGCGTGAAGCATCACGCCAAAATGGAGGCGTCTCTATCCAAGGAAAACGAGTTTTCAAGAAGGCTCTGAATATCCGCGAATCCTCGGCTGCGATGAGCAGATGGAGATGTTGGCATGTCTGAGCAATGTTGGTCAAGCAACTGACCGTCGGGAGGTGAAGCGCAATGTTGTAAATTATCTCTGCTGGTAGTTCCGTGAGCATTGCGATTTATGCACTCGGTGGCATAGGAATGACGTATGAACGGATCTAGTGGAAGCAAGAGTCAGCGAGACCTTGAGAATATCCAGTAATGGGACAAGATAAGACAATAGCAAACAAACCTATATATTCTTTATAGAAGCAGATTTTGTCAAATGCTGGCACGGCAATTTCGATAGAGATCTGAATGTGGGATCAGCCAGTGGCTAATGAGCCGTAAAACACAGCCAGGAATTCGCCTTGTAGCCAAGCCATGGCGTCTATTTATGAGAGTCCAGCCTCGTATGCGACAGACATTCTAGAAATGGGACGAAATGTACCGAAAAGATTGAATTGGTCAATCCAATAGCCTACCTCGAGTTGTCGATTCCTCTCGTGGACTTATGTCATCCCTACCTTATCATCACATGATATAAACCGATAAGGGTCTATTTATGGTAAGAGCGAATGTACCTGAACTGAGCACAACAACCCTACGAAATATTCGCGATTTTCCATAATACCACGCGCTACTTGCCATGCCAACCCATATATCCGTCGCCGTCTACCGGGGCGACCCAATCGACTACGCCATGTACAGACATACAGCGCTTCACTTCACTTTTCCCGATGGGCAACAAAGCGCAATGCATGTAGTCGGTGCACCGAGCATGTTCGACTTTGAAGAAGCAGAAGGCATAGACCCAACCAAGGTCACAGGTCTTGCGGGTCTCATCTATGTCGCAAGTGTACCAGATGTCATTGAAAGGGCTTCGATCAAAGATGCTTGCGTCCGTACACCTGTGCGGAATGATCGTGAGCATCGGGATTGGAATTGTCAGAACTGGGTTGGAGAGGCTTTGATGGAGTTGGTAGAGATTGGGTGTTTGACTGAAGGGGAACGGTCAGCGGCTCTTGATAAAATGATGGATATTTGTCTTGAGGCTGCAGATGAGGACCTGGAGTGTAAGTACCACATTCTTTACGATGGGGAGCAGCTCGTTGGTTAACATGTGGATAGAATGGTTCACGAGTTACGACTAGATGAAAGCTACGATTTATAATCCCATGCAAATAATGCCGAGCAGCAGTGTTTTGATATAGCAGCTGTAATCATGTCATGAACTTTTGATTCTGTTAGATTTGGGAAACAAAAATGAAGTATGTGAATTGAAGAAAATAAAAAGCCACCTTCAGCTCCATCTGCGCCTTGCTTGCCGATAAATTGAACAATACTATGAAGACCTGGATAAGAAAGATCTAGCTCTATCTAAACCGGTAAATCTTTTCTTTTAGGTTCTCAGAAGGCCCGGACTGCACACTTGCGATAGATATGTTACTGCAGAGTGCAATTGGACCATTTCTCTGATTTCCCTTGTGGTCCATCAAAAAGACCTTAATTCAAATGATAGATCAGTTAGGATACTGCCTTAATCCTCAAACTTGAAGGACTTTCCTCCGGAGATGTCGATAGGACCACCGCGGTAAGAACCACGCTTCTTTTTATTCTTCTCCTTGGTAAATCCCTTGCCGCGAGTAACCGACAAGTCTTTGTAGGCATTGTCTGCATAAGCGTAGGACATATATGTGTTCGAGGGATGGTCGTGCGGCAGCTCACTCAGAGCAGCGAGAGGGGTCTGACGGGCACCGATATGCTTCTTAGCACGATTGTTTCCAGGGACCGGGCTTGCGTTCGACGAAGATTCCCGGGTATTTTCGGCAGCCTTGTTGACCGGCTTCTGCTCGTCAGAATCGGAGTTTTGGAGGGTGTCAGAAGACTTTGATGATTCCGATGACTTGTCATCCTTTTTCTTCTTGTCAGAGGACTCATCTTCCGAGGAGTCTTCATTGGACGACGAAGAATCAGACGAAGAGTCGCTAGAGCTGGAGTCTGATGCGGGCAAGGGTGTCTTGACAGCAGTCTTCAGAGCCTTTTTGTCGGCTTTCTTGGCAGGGCTCTTCTCAGAAGATGAAGAATCGGAAGAATCGGAGTCGGGATCGGAGTCAGAGGAGTCAGAGGAGTCAGAGTCAGAGTCAGAAGAATCAGAGGATGAAGAAGGATCGCTGTTATTCTCCGACGATTCGCTTTCGGAGCTGGCGGATTCCGACGAAGAAGAATCAGAGGACTCAGAAGACGAGGAGTCCTTCTTGGTGGACTCAATTTTAGCCTTCTTAGCTTTAGGGGCCTCCTTTTCCGATTCCGAGGAACTTGAGTCCGACTCAGAGGAGCTAGACTCGGCCTTGCGCTTCACACCGGTTGACTTGCGACCAGCGGCCGGCGCATTATCCTCGTCATCAGCGTCGCTATCGGAGCTCGAGGAGGAAGATGAGGAAGATGAGGAAGAGGAAGAAGAGGAAGAGGAAGACGACGAGCGGGAAGACTTCTTGGATTGCGCATCGCCCATTTCGACGTCCGAATCGCTGGACTCATCGGAGCTGCTGTCGCTGCCACTTTCACTAGAGGAGCTGGAGCTAGAGCTAGAGCTGGAACTGGAGGACTCTTCCGATTTCTTGGTCCAGTTCTGGAAGACTTCGAGCAAAGACGGGGCCTTCTTCGAATTGGTCTGGGAAATTGACTTATCGGCCTGCTCTTTAGCAAAAGCCTTACTCGTGCTCTCGAAGCCGTTTTCAGACAAGAACGTAGCGATAGAGGCGACTAATTGCGGAGGGGGGGAGTTCTATTGACAGAGAATCGTCAGTACCAACTACTTATTACTTTAGTTCAACCAATGCCTTTCGCGAAGACCTACCTTTTTGGTGCTGAGAGACTTCTTCGAAGCCGAAGCCTTCTTACCCTTCTGCGCTGCCATGGTTGGATATTCTGCTTGAGGTTGCTCTTCTCTCTGCTCTGTTGGTCGGCGTCTTCGTGAAGACTAGGAAAAAAAAAAAAAAAACGGAAGGCGCTAGTAAGAGCGGTCTGCAATTAATGTTTCTTGATTGGCTACAGGGATAAGTTTAGCGCAAAGCTCACGTGCTCTTGGTTTTTATTTACTTATGCCTGAGGCATAAATGGGGGACTCGTCCTGAATTCTAATACATAGTACTCCGTACAAGTACGGAGCAAATTATTTGCTATGAAATGTGATGGGTGATGGTCGAAAATACATTCGTTTTGGCTAAGCGTATCTGCATTAAGGAAGGCTGAGGTGGAATTTAAATGAGGTAACTGTTGTGACGGTTAACGGGGCACCAGAAACTGCTCCCATTGAACTGCGCTCCTGTCGAGCCCTACCGCCCTGCCGTCTATGGGAATAGCATTGCCCTTTGCAGTATGGCGTCTACTGTGTCAGGGATAGCGCCTCCTCGCGCCGCTTTGGGCCGCTCACATACCATCTCCAACACATCCGTTGCATCTATAAAACCCGACATCTCTCCCTTAGAGGACCACGCACTTTCTCTTCCCTTCTCCCGTCTGCCTCGCCCCGTGCATTGCCTTTTACCAGGATGCCGCGTTACCCGACGATTGCCCTTTTTCAGTATGGCACCGGAGTGGCCGACCTGAACGATTGAGACATTGAGACCTTGTTACGGTCACTTCATTGGAAATTGAACTATCCACTTCCCCCCTGATGCTGTGCTTATGCTTACTATTGCAGCTATTGGCTCCTTTACGTATTGTCCGCCAGCTGACCAGCGACCTTTGAGCTCTTGGTTGTTGCTTCCGGTCATGCCATCCTATTTGGGATTTCCTTTGGGGACTTCTAGATCCTTAGCTGCCTTGCTGTGGTCTCTTATCTCAAAACCTCATGATTGCTTCTTCAGCCATAGCATAATGGTGTTAGTGTGCTTTAGGAAGCTCTCGTATCCAATGCCTGGACAATGCTGACCATTCTTGCAGCGATGGATATTGCACCGCCAGCTAAAAAAAAATGCGTATAGGAAATAGACCGTCTCATCTGAATCTGAGATCCATTGCCAATGCTGTACCGGGTCGGCATCAATATACTGACAATATCGGCAAGGGAGCCACCGGTGAGCTCCCAGCATAACCTGGGAAGCAAGAGATTTATCTATCTATTCCAGTACATGCAGGTCTCATTAAGTTTTCCCTGAGTGCCGTCGCTGTACCGCTGCTATCGAAACTGGGAGACGTTCAAGCTCTCTGCTTGGGCCAAATAATGTTCAGGAGGCAGCTGGCTCTCATCACCGGAGATATTGTCGCCGGATCATCTTCATCATCATCCGAATTCTCACTATCATTCGGGGTTGCTGATGGAGTCACTATCAGATCCGTTGTCTGAAAAGATCTCGGTCAGGTCGGAAGCAAGGCGCCATGGTCGATACAGCCCGCAGGGGACTGGCAAACAAAGGAAAGCCTGTAGTAGGAGAAAAAGTGAGAATAACAACTGTTTCGTGGACGAGGACGGACTTCAAAAGCATGGAAAGCGCTGCGAGAGATGCTCATGGAAGAAAGGATGAAAGCAGGGAAGCATACGGTTGGCACAATGGGACTTATAACTGGAGAGAGCATGATGGTCAAGGGGGAGCCAAAAAAGGCTCCCCGCCGCAGCGACCTCAGCGAGAAGGTCTAGATAGATGATGTTGAACGAAATAGCAACAGAAGTCCCATTTGAGACTAGCGTCAAGGAACATGAAACCCGTGGTCTGGCGTGGAGGGAAAGCCCATGGCCGTGGGAATACGCTCACCTGATGCCAAGACGGGACCCCTGAAACGGCCACCGAAGTAGCCCTTTTCGGCCGCTTGCTAACCGTCACATCGTTAAATCGAGCTTCTTTTCTTTAGGAGATATATATATAATTATAGATATGTATAGAAATCATACATGAAAATAGAAATTGAATTATAAAAGCAAGTCTTCGGACTATGCAGTAGATACTGACCAAGTTTACCTGTGCCATAAATATACCACTTGACTGTCACGGTGGTACATTTGGCCTGGGCACTAGGTGTATTGGGGACAAGTATGCCTTGGCCCTTGAATGGATTTGGTGACCTGGGATAGTCTCCAAAGAGTGTTCCTTCATCACTGCTTGGCTCGAAATATTCAAATATTGCTTTGAGACCGAGATTTCACCATGCTTTGCGCTGAGGGTCAATTCTGAGCAAAGAAGAGATGTGTAGGACTGATTGACTTCCGTGCAGACATCACCGCGAGCCATTATGGTTTCACATCATCGTGCCCAATCTTGTCCCTTGACAATAATTTCAGTCGCATGACAACAATCAAGAATTAATAGCCAGTCACTGCCAATGTGTGGAAGGCTACACTGTACCTCTTCCCAATTCAGAAACTGGCTTGGTAGAGTATTTCCTATCATATCAGTGAGTTTGCTTACAGCTCTGTCGTAGGATTCTTGTGCTTCTTCAAGGGAGGGAGTGAAACAGAACTATAGTTATACGACTCCTTGAAGTCTCGTCCAACCTGTTCTGTATTTGCTTTCGCCCCTTCGCCCTCGTCTTCCTCCCAGTGGATAGTTAGGATTGTCACTCTATCGTAAGTCGTGCCGCGTTGGCAACAGGTGCAGATGCCGACTCAATCGGCTCCTCTGTGAGTAATGGTGTAGACTCTGATCTCCATAGCGGTGCACACTCCTTTTGGATAGATGCAGAAGAACCCATCGTGCTTTTGGTAATCAGCGGTTAGGAGATGACTAGAGATGATAATTTGCGGGAAATTAAGCCGAAGACAACAATATGGGTGGAAGTGTTTGCATGAATATCTGCTGCAGTCTAGGTCAGGCAGCTGTTCAGAGAAAGTGTCACTACTCCGTATTCAATAGAATTGCGGCGAACAGCCACGCTATACCGTATCTGGAAACCAACCCATTCTCCGTACGGAGCTCATGATCTAATCCACACTTGACGACAACTCTCTTGCTCTGTCTACCCCCTCAACCAGGCCTCAACCGTTTGTCCACCACGCGTTACTCGCTGGTAATCGCTTCTGCAGGTTGCTCTTACTCACCGAAGTAACCCATTGTTTCTCGAAATCCCGTCTGCGAGGCCTGTTTTCCCGATTTTTCCGATCATGTCCCCTTGGTCTTTGGCGGAGACCTCTTGAATATACCAGGCCCTGCGAGAAATATAAGAGATAAACTACAATAATGAGCGGTCAGCGTTCCCGAGGGGCCCCTCCTGGCGATATGCCGCCGCCATATCGAGAACCGCGTCGTGTCGGTGATCCTCGGAGTGGTGGACCCGGAGATGCCAGCCTGTCGAGGGCCGAGAAATTCGAAGACGAGAAGAGACGAATTACGCAGAGCTGCTTTGCTAAAAAGGAGAGTGATGGTACTTGTATGTAGATAACGTTATACCTTTCCCCTTCAGCAATAACAAGGTGTCATGCTTTGCTGCCCCGCGCTTCCTTGGTATCACTTGTCCCTCGCAAGGGAGATGGACGACCGAATTTATTGTCTGCAATTGATTGAGACAGCTTTGCGCCAACAGATCTCTTTTTCTAATCATTTTGCGACTTGGATCTGACAAACTGACTTCTCTCAGTGGTCGAGTCCTACATAACACATGTGCGCATAACAGAAGATGCCGCCTACCCATCCTCTCCTCCTCCCCCGAATTCGCCGTCCGAAAATAGAAAGGCTCGCGTGATTATTGTCGCCGTGAGGAAGTCGGGCAGAGTGCGCATGCACAAAGGAAGGGAGAATAATGACGGGTCATTTTCCGTAGGAAAGACGTGGATGCTCGACGACCTCTCTTCGATCTTGTCATATTCCGCCTGGATGCCCTCGACGCCATTAGAGCAACAGCACAAACAGTGGGCTGGGAGTGTTGGATTCGTGGTTACTATTGGAAAGCCTTATTACTGGCACGCTCGGACCTCCAAGGAGAAGGAGTTCTTTATTGGCAGTCTGGTTAAAATTTACAAAAAGTACACTGGTGGTAAAGTTCCCCACCTTATAGGCTTCGATGACCGCGAACGCCAGATGCTTGTTGGGACAGCACCAGCTGGGCCTCCAGGTTCTTCAAGGGGCCCTGTGCCGCCGCCTATACGCCCGGAGGGCCCGCCGTCTTCACACAGCAGCCGACCACAATCGCCGTACACGGCTCGAGCTCCTAGTCGCGATGGACCTCGAGAGCATAGACGGCCACCTGATGATCAGTCGCTACGGGCTCAGAGGAGTAGGGATCAAATGCAAAGACCTTCTACCAGCCAATCGGGCAAGGGTGCTACGCCGCCTCTCAGTCATCCGTCAACCTTCCCTGATCAGCCACCACCCCGTGCTGAGCGCCGCGCGGCCGAAAGGGTACCTAAAACACCACCAGTCCCAGTATACCCGGAGAAGAAATATAAAGACCCCGAAGAGAGCAGCTTGGCTAGCTCGCATTTCGATGCTCAGCCTCCCCCGTCGCGTGATGGGAGGATGCCGGAAGCGAGGCCATATCTTCGAACCCCAGGGTCGATCCCAAGTTCACCAGATGTCAAGCGCAGCACGGATGGTCTTCGACCAACCACTCCGGGGTCTGTTTCAGGAGAGACTCGAAATATCCCACCAAGTCCTGCGAGCAGTCTGGGCCAGAAGTCACCTCTCAATAATGTGAACGATAAAGTGTCTGCTCCAGAACCAAGTGGATTGTCCCGAGAAATTGAGTCTCCAAAAATTTCGACTGATACTCCAATTGCTCCACTTGAGCCAACGCCAGCAGGTAACCATTCCCCTAAGGTGCCTGTGCAGACGACAGCAGCCGATCTTCCTCCAATAGAGCCTGGGCCGAAGGAAGTTGTTCCAGAAGAGATTTCACCAGTCGGTCCTCCAGAGCCCGAGCCCGAGCCCCTGGAAGAGGATCCTGAGGCGCATCGTCCTGGACTTGGTCCGATGATCAAAAAGAAACAGACCAAAGATTTGGCAGGCGCTTTCCGGAAAGCTGCCACTGCATATGGAGCCTTTAAGCCGAGACCGGGGGGTGCTGGTGAGAGATTGATGGCTGCAGCTAAACAACAAAGGGGTGACCCGGAGGAGCCGGATGGGATCACTGGTGTTGTTCCTGCTCCATCGCTTCGGCCCAACACAGCTACTCAGAGCCCAGTCAGTGAAGTACCTTCGACCCCAACACTTCAAACACCGGAGACTGAGGTGCCTCCTCCTGTTTCCTTAGCTAAGGAAGCACCGCCTCCTCTGTCGCCGGCGAGAGAACCACCGCCGACTGTTGAGATTACGCAGGCGGTTACCGAAGAGCCAGCGACTCCGACAATCGAAGTGCAAGAAGAGCCGAGAGATACTTCGCGGTCCACCGTGCAGGTTCCAGTCGATCAGAGATCGCGGTCAGCATCACCGTCTCCTCATGACCGTAACCGCCGGCGTCGTGAGGACAATACGATCAAGTATTGCCTGGCGATTGGAATTGATCCCAAAGTTTTGGATGGCCGTGGCATCGACTTTGACGATATATTGACCGATCTTGGCTGGAATGGGCGGCTCAGTGATGAGAAGCGAATTGAGGACCTCGAAGCCGATGTTCGTCGTGAGATCGGACGAGTAGAAGCAACTAGCTGGCTGGGCAATCTTGAGCAACAGGAAGGGAAGGTTGATCAACTAGCTAGGCTGATTGACAAGACCGTCGAAGAGTGTGATGAGCTAGATGGCCTTCTTACGCTGTACTCGCATGAACTTAACGTAAGCAATATTTCTCTTCTGGACTTCATTACGATACGCAGTTCGCTAACAAACGTTTGAAAGACACTCAATGATGATGTGTCGTACATCGAGGCGCAATCTCAAGGATTGCAAGTCCAAACGGCTAACCAGAAGCTTCTACAAAACGAACTACAAAACCTGTTGCGGACACTCTCCATCTCGCCCTCTGAGCTGCGGTCATTGAAGGAGTCATCACTTAGCAACCCATCTGGATTGAGGGACACCGAACTTGCTTTGTCGACATTGTACAGAGCTATGCACACCATTGATTCTGATATTTGGCAGAATAAGCAACGATTGGTGGATGCTGCGGGGCAGCACGGCAGTGTGGGAGTATACGCGGACACAGAGATCGGGCAGATGCGCGCCATCAAGGAAAAGAAGGAGGAATACCGCACCGAATCCCGATCATTCTTGCAGCGACTTAGACAGTTCATGGGTATTGCCTATAAGGTGGCCGAGCAGAAGAGAATTGATGCTGCTGCAGGCAGCCCGAAGGACCCTATGAAACTCAATGATAAGGCCCGCGATGCCTTCCGCCGCGAATTATGGGTATACAACGCTTTGACACTTTTCGCGCGAGAAGTCAGTACATCAGAATGGAATGGATTGATGCAGCTGTATGAGCAACAAGCCAGGGGACCTTACCAGGGAGAGTTCCGCGACAATATCCAGGCATGGAAGAAGGCTTCGAGAAAACTTACAGGAGAAGAGCAGGAACTTCTCTTCACTCATCACGACAAGGAGAAAGAAAACCAGGGTGTTACTGGTATGGCTGCGCGGAAATTAACAGTGAAGCGAGGCAAGACCATCAAGGCTGCAACAGGTCTCCGACTTTCCTCTGGTGAGAAGCACCATGGGAAGATGGACCCGTGTGAAGTTTTTGCTGGCACGCTGCAGGAGACCTTGGATATGATTTGTGAGGAGCAAAATTTTGTTGTACACTTCTTCCATTTGGATTCACTTTCAACTGTCGACTTCCCTGATCTGGTGGCTTCCGCTGCCCCTGGTGAGCGCCGATACCCAAACTTTAGCGCCAAACAGTCTCATGATCCTGATCGGGCGATGGCGCGGAAGGTTGAACATATCATGGACGAGGTTTATTCTTTCTGGCCTAACGATATGCAAAATCTCGTGGATTGGGCCATTCAGGCTGATCCTTTGTAAGCACCCTTCTCTTCCCTACTTCTCTCTGTTCTCCAAGATGAATTGACTTAGCTAACAAAAACAATAGACAAGGAATTGGTATTCTGTTTGCGTTGGAGAAATCAATGTCCGATCTTGATGATACGAATCAGGATTTCATTATCCATTCTCTTCAGAAGCTTCATTCCCGTTTGGTGGGACTGTTCAATCGGTTTGTGGATGAACAGATCCGCGGCATCGAAGATACCAAGGTGAAGATCAACAAGCGAAAGGGAGTGATTTCATTCATGCGGGTCTTCCCCAACTTCTCTGCGGCAGTGGAGAGTATGCTGACGCACCCATCGCAAGAGTTCTGCGACGTGCGGGTCAGCGTCAACGAGGCATACAACCGAATCAACCGGGCTATGTGGGAGTCATTGAAATTCATTGCCAAGGAGGCCCCTGGACCCCCAGGCGCTGCCGCAGTGGGTGGTGCCGGAGGAGACCCTGAGGACAAGGAAGCGCTCAACTACCACATCCTGCTGATCGAGAACATGAACCACTACATAGAGGAGGTGGATGTACGTAACCTTCTGGTGCTGGAACAATGGCGCGACCGGGCACACCAAGATATGGCGGAGCACATGAAGCTCTACCTGGACGCTGTGATTCGACGACCGCTGGGCAAGCTGTTGGAATTCGTGGAAACCGCAGAGGGCCTGATGGCGACAAGCACAGACATTGCGAACCGGCCTAGTCACACGCGCTCCGTGGCGAAGAAGGTCCTGGCGACTTATGACACCAAGGAAATCCGACGCGGTATTGAATTGCTCAAGAAGCGTGTAGAGAAGCACTTTGGTGATGCAGACGACCCGGGACTCAGCCGCAATCTGGTACTAAAGGTATTTGGGGAGTGCGAGCGCCGGTATGAAGATGCATACGACCGTACGCGACGGCTGCTGGAGACGGTGTACGAGGGCCAGCTGGAGCAGGATTGGCGCAAGGAAGATGCGATTGCAATGTTCCGACGGACATAGTTTTTATGATTCTTTCCCCCCCTCCCTTTTCTAATTTTTTTTTTTTTTTTTTTTTTTTTTTTTTTTTTTTTTTGAAACGGAATAAAGCTATAAAGTTATAGAGCTTCTCTTCAGACTGAATCTTTGTTGCTTTCCGCAATGTCAACGCTTTTTGTTTGAAAGTGCGCAGGGCATTATGATACATTTACTGGGCGCATTGGACATGACTGGGTTTATTGGATGCATTTGTACACTGTAAGTATAGGATACATATTCCAGACAGAACTCGTGTGATATAGACATGATTCTACACCAATCAAGACAAAGAATATCTGGATCTGCAAAGAGGATCTCATATACTACTCTGTTATTGCTCGTGTTCTGGGCGATGGGGGACAGTGATTTGCCCGTGGTGGTTCAGGGGCAGCTGCTGGTCAGTGCGGATCATACATGGCCCTCATGGAATACTAGTCCTGCGATATAAATATCCTTATGGAGTCGGAATCGATAGATCAAAAAAAACAATAGAAAAGAAAAGAAAAGGAAAAAAAAAAAAAAAACCAAGGGATAATCTGTACAGGAGAGGAACGTGGTTGCATCGAAGTGCATCCGAATTGTATGGAAGTTTGGTGGTGAGCGAATGGTTGATGCTGGCCAGCATACAATCAATGTTGCACACTTAATCTGGACAGAACAATAGAGCGATAAATAGAGGCACAGAATGGGCTAATTATAAAACCGTTTCTAGTCCTCGAATCGACCGTTGGAATCCCAATTTGTTATTTGGGTTGGGGGTTTTCGTTGTCTTCTATTCTGTTCCCCGTTCCTATTCGTCTCTCCTCCTTTCCCTTTACTTTCTTCTTCTTCTTCTTCTTCTTCTTCTTCTCTCCATTTCTTTCGTCTTTCGATCTTCACCTTCTATTCTCTTTTCTTCGTATTCTTCTCTTTCTTTGTCTCTCCTTATACATTCAGTCGGTACGTCCCTCTCCTTTTCTGCTCTCCTGCTTTCTCCACGAGTTCCTCGCGGTCTCCACCACCCGCTCCCTAAGGGGCTCTGCGACGGTGAGAGTGAGCTGCTAGAGACGCTGTGAGGACAACAAGGCCTTTGCTGGCATTCTGGGTCTTCAATGCTATGGTCTTCTCACTAATACTGGCCATGTTCTAGCTCGTTACTCTTATTCTCCGGTTCCTGACTCGCAACCTTTCCCTCCATCCTACCGCGACACGAAACGAACCCGATCTTCTTGCATGTAGCGCCTTGTTCGATATCTCCCGGCTTGTCTCAATTTTCAGTTCAACCGTCCGTTCGTTACTTCCTATGCTGCTACGGCCCACGGGGTCCCTCCTACTTCTCTCCATTATCTCGAACTGTGACGGACACTCTGCGGGGGTCTACGAATTTAGTCGCAGAACATGCCCTGGCGGCCTCTGCCCCGAATCGCTTTCGCTGTCGCCATCTACCCCTTTCAACCTTCCACCCCCGCCGATTTACCTCTAGAATTGGGCGATGAACTCTACATAATTGAGCGTGGGGGTGTCGACGGAGAATGGTGCCGTGGCTATCTAGTCGCTCCGCCGTCCTTGTTGGCTGGTTTAACCAGTACCAAGGGGCAGACACTCGAGGCTAGGGTCTTCTCCGGCATCTTTCCGCGCAATTGTGTTGAGATCCGGGAAGTCCTTGATAATAATGATCTGCCCAGTCCGCGACTCAATGGAGAACACAAGAAGAGTGTGGAGCAGCAGCAGCAGCAGCAGCAAGAACAGCAGCAGACGAACAGCACTCGGGAGAAAGAGCAGAGAGATAGCCTGCTAAGCTCGAACGATGACGATCAAGTGATGACCGGCGAGGTATCGAATGTAGTGATCGCGAAGAAGGGAAAACCTTCGCAAATATTCATCACCAAGCTGGAAGATGATAGTCAGGGGAGTCCCCGTTCGGCAAGCAGCACCTGGAAGGGTTCCCCACTACCGTATACCCCTCTTCCCCGCGATCCTGATGCGCCCAAGCCCGCTGCCCCTGTACCTATGCTCAAAATCGGCGATGAAACGCCCACCTCGATATCAGAGCCGCTCGTCGACGAAATCGCCTCATGTCTCCGCGAATGGCATTCGACAAATCTGCACGAATTGCTCCTGGCGCAGAAGTACAATTCTGTAGAGGAGCTATCGAATCTTGTTCGCGAACTCGATTTTGCCCGACGACAATTACTCCACAACGTGCTTACTTGGCAGGAGAAGGAAGCATTGCGAAATGAAATGGTCTGGAAATTGGTGCGCGGAAACAAGATGCTGAGTGGAGAAATCGTGGTCAGAGATCCCCTGCAAAAAGGTCGTCTCTTAACTGGCGAGGATTCAGCCGTGCATCTGGCAAAGCTGCAATCGGAGATGTGCATGCTGGAGAGTAGTCCGATGCACCACTTAGACACGGCTGCTCTGTACCACTTGCTACTGGAGGTCAATGCCGTCTCGGGCCATTCACCAGGCCCCGTCACGCTGGTGGCACAACTGTGCTCCAAGTCATCGGATGCCAGTGCGCTGAAACCTCTGTCGGAGACGTACTCTTTGGACATTCCGTCTCCGGAAAAATTCGCCAACATGGGTCAGAGCACCAAGCTCAAGACTCTCTTTACTGAACTTTGCGCCACGGACCTTGGTGATGCGGCTGCTAATGGTAATAAGCTTTACTTAGTCGTTTCCGCCCGCGCACCAGAGACGCCAGCCACTCTCAGCGGCATCTCATATCAGCCTCGTTCTTCCATGTCCAAAGATGAGTCGTCATCCTCGGCAGCAACTAGCAGGCCACCTCAGGGAATCAACCACTCAGTGAAAGGCAGTCTGAAAACGCGACGCAGCATCATCTGGTCGCACAAGCCGAAGGGAATTCCTGGTGTAGACCTTCCCAAGGAGAGCCCGAAACTCCCTCCGCAATCGGCGGGAAGCACGTCCAGCAGCAAGGACCGATCCGCGACCCAGCCGGCAAAGGAAACCACCGCGATTCGCACGATTGGTGTTGGGCTCTTGGAGGTCTCTCAGGTCCTTCGGCAAGAAAAGGAGGCTGAGCACGTGGTCGTCAACATCTGGTCGCCGCTCCGGGATGGAGAAGAAGAAGGACTATCCGAAGGTTTCAATGATTTGATCCGCACACTGTTACCCAGTCCCAATGGGAAGTACATGCGGGCTCAGCGGGCGGCGCGGCTTCATCTCAATCTGCACCCGTTCGTCAGTACCGATGCGGATGACCTGGTACGGAGGAACCCAACCATCATGCACAATGTTGTGCAAACAAGACGGATGGGATTCTCTCAGGCCCCGGCTACACCGCGGTCTGATATCTATGTGACGCTCACCCAGGCCATCTTCCCTTCTGAAGCGCTTCTGTCACACCCTCATGCCGGCCAGGTGCCCGTTCCTATGAACACAGGCCTCCGTAACTTGCAGTTGACCCTGGAGGTGCGGACAGCATCAGGAGCACGGGTTGATCGATGCGTTTACCCCTCGTCCTCCAGCAACACCGCGCACACGGCATGGCGCACGATTGTGGCCGATCGTGGCACACCTTGGAACCAGACCATCCGACTCAATATTCCGTCTGATCAGATACCCGGGTCACATCTCGTGATGAGCATTGCCGATGCGCCCGAGTTTCCCTTTGCTTTGGCGTGGATGCCGTTGTGGGACAACCAGGCGTTCATGCGGGATGGCCTGCATTCTCTGGTCCTCCACGCTTATGACAAGCACACGTCGAACGTTGAAAACGGAAAAGGTGCCTACTTGTCTCTTCCATGGAATGCGCTCGGGAAGAATGAATCGACCAAGGATGAGGCGGTTACTGGGCCCATGTCGTCCTTGCGTCTGGAGACCTACCTGTGCAGCACCGAGTATTCCCAAGATCAGGCGATCCTGAGCCTCTTGAACTGGAGAGAACGGCCCGTGGATGACCTCTTAGATACCCTCCGGAGGGTGCTCTTCGTGCCCGAAATGGAGATCGTCAAGCAACTCAGCGGTGTTTTCGATTCGCTCTTCGGTATCTTGGTTGAAAACGCGGGGAACGAGGAATACGAAGATTTGGTCTTCCATGACCTTGTGATGGTGCTTGGTATCGTCCACGACCGCCGGTTCAACTTGGGACCGTTGGTAGACCACTACGCCGACAACCAGTTCAATTTCCCATTCGTCACACCATGTCTCATTCGCAGCTACCTGCGCCTCCTCCGCGCCAATTCGGACCCTGAACAGTCCCGGAATCTACGTTCCACGTTCAAAGTCGGACGGCATGTGCTAAAGTTCATCATCAATGCTCGACAGCAGCAGCAGACCAAGGAAGAGGGCATCGGGATCACCAAGGTCGGGTCGACTTTCAGCCGCGACATTCACACGATATTCCGATCGCTCGAGTCGCTGATGAAGAACCCGTCACCAGCTATGGTTGGAAGCAAAACGCTCATCGTTCAGCATTTCCACACATGGCTGCCTGAGCTTTCCAAAGTGCTGCCCAAGGATGAGGTGTTCATGCTTGCTCTTAGCTTCATGGACTCTTGCAAGGATGTTACGGGCATGCTTATCCTCTACAAGCTGGTCCTGATCCAACACTACACTCAATTCGAGATCTTTGCTTCGGGGCAGGAACGAGAGAGTTTAATCTCCTGCTGTATCAGCTGGTTAGCTCCTTACTGGGGTGCAATTGGGCATGTTTCTGACCTATATCGGGATCAAGTCCGCTTATGTTGCGCGATTGTTGCCCAGCTGTTGACACAGCCGAATCCACAGTTGTACGAGTTTATGCCTAGAATCTTTGCGTCGTATTGCTCTATAATCCCCGATGGTGTGGAGGAGACCGAATACTTGTCTCTACTCTTCAGCAAGACCTTCCCGTTCCAGGTCAAAACATGCAAGATCAAGCAAAAGTTTGATGAAGCTCTTGTGGAGTTGGCAGCCGTCATGGCGGCCACAGCCAAGATCCCGAACCCCAAACCGCTGGCACTCAAGGACCTCGAGCTTTCTACTTTCCTTGCTCAGGCATTCGAGGCGCACAACTCGATTCTGGATTGTGAAGCCTACCCTGAAAGCTGGCTTAGTATGCACGTGTACAATCATCGCGCCACGGTGAAGAGTCTGGAGCATTTGGGTTCGATAATGGTCGACAAATTTTTGCCGGCGCCGGATGATGCTGATACCTTCGACACCAAATTGTGGGAGTGTTTCTTCATGACGCTGCTAAAGGTTGTTTCCAGTGATGCCTTGGCCCTGGAGACCTTCCCCGAACAGAAACGGCGTGCTGTGTGGAAGATTGCTGGCGATGTTCGAGAGCAAGGTGCAGATCTCTTGCATTCGAGCTGGGAAGCGATCGGCTGGGAAACAACGGACGAAGAAAGAGAACGGTATGGCCTCAGGAAGCTTGGTGGCTACCAGGTTCAATACGTTCCTAACCTCATCTACCCTATCATGGAGCTCTGCCTTAGCGTTCACGAAGGATTGCGCCACGTTGCGGTCGAACTCTTGCGAAGCATGATCCTGAGCGAATGGGATCTGAACCAGGACTTGTCTATTATCGAAACAGAGATCATCTCGAGTCTGGACAGCCTCTTCAAGACCAAGCACATGAACGAAAGTATCCTCCAGAAACTCTTCGTTAGCGAGTTGCTCGGCCACTTTGAGGGTTGTGAGACATTTGATGAAGATCTATCGAATGCGGTCAAGGGTCTCATAGTGACTGTTGATGAGCTGCTGGATCTGTTTGTTGCCTCCCAGAGCGGTTCCGTGACGGAAAGCTTCAATACGCTGAGATTGATGGAGTATATGAAGGACATGGGCCGAGAGGACATCTTCATCCGTTACGTCCACGAACTTGCCAATGCGCAGGCGACTGCGGGCTACTTCACTGAGGCCGGTTTGGCTCTTCAATTCCACGCCGATCTGTACGACTGGGATCCCAACAAATACGTTCCGGAAATCCTCAACCCTGCCTTCCCTGAGCAGAGCTCATTCGAACGAAAGGAATCGCTGTACTTCTTCATTATCCAGCACTTTGAGGATGCTAAGGCTTGGGCACATGCTCTTGCTTGCTACAAGGAGTTGGCCCAGCAATACGAGTACATAATGATGGATTTTGTCAAACTCTCTCGAGCACAGGGCTCCATGGCCAAGATTCACGAGTACATTGCCAAGGAGGATAAGCAGTTTAGTAGGTACTTCCGCGTCGTCTACAAGGGCCTCGGGTTTGCGCCTACATTACGAGACAAGGAATACATCTTCGAGTGTCTCCCGACTGAGCGGATGGCGACGTTCATCGATCGGATGCAACGGGAGCACCCGACAGCGCAGGTTGTGTCTGCGGGTGACATACGCGATTACGAAGGCCAGTTCTTGCAGATTACTCCTGTCAGTCCTCAGCGTGATATGAATCATCCTGTCTACCAGCGGACCAAGGTCCCTCAGTCTGTTAGGGAGCACCTGGTGATCTCTGAACCGTGCCGCTTCTCATCTACACTGAAGAGACATGTCAATAATGCGAATGTTGAGGAGCAATGGGTTGAGAAGGCTATTTTCTCGACTGCAGAGCCATTCCCTAACATCCTGCGCAGGAGTGAAATCGTCTCCATTGAGGAGATCGCGTTGTCGCCCTTGCAGACCGCACTGGAGCGAACATGGCGCAAGACACAAGAGCTGTCATTATTAACACGAAAGGCGGCAGCTGGTGAAGATACCAGCTTGACGAACCTGACAGAGGCACTTCAGCAATTGCTCGAGGTCAGCAGCTCATCGCCTAGCTGTGTGGCGCTGTATCGCCAATTCCTTCCCGAGACTTCCAAGAAGGACGAAGAAGGCGGCGATAGTGAGAAAAATGAGTCTACCGAAGACGAGACTGCAGAGACTCCCAAGCCTGTTGATCCTATGGAAAGCGCACTGGCCGTGGCCCTTCTCGATCATGCCTTGGCCATCAAGCACGCTTTGTCTTTATACGGCCGTCCAGCGTACCAGGCGACTCAGGCTGAATTGATGCGCCGCTTTGAAGAGTCCTTCTCACCGGAGATTGCATCTCTTGCTCCGACTACTGCTCCGGAACCATTGCCGTTGCCGTCTCAGCGCCAATCTCCAAACCCCATGGATCATCGTCAGCAGCAGCCAGCAGGGCGGGTTAGCCCCGATCAAGAGTTGATCCGGTCTTCGCGGATTGGCCACAGCCGCAAGCACTCGACGAGGCAATCCGTCAGTCATCGGATCGGTAGCATGAACCCATTCAAACGATCCCACCATGGAGCGAATGGCTCCGTTTCCACAGCGGTCGCTGAGACGAGGCAGGCGCTCGAGGGCAGATCTAATGGTACCTTGGCTGAGCACGCGGAAGAAAACGGCGAGCCTGACAATGAGACTGCTACGATCAACAGCCGGACGACCAGCCATTCCCGGGAGATTCACTCTAAGCGCCGGAGCTTCTTCGGTGTTGACAAGCCGTACAACCATGGTTCGTCGTTGTCAATCGCAGCTAGCATTACTACCGACGATGCACACAAGCACAGGAAGCAATCTTCGAGAAGCACCTCTCGGGATACAGTGGCTAAGCCATCACATGACATTCGCATTCAGCCTGTAGCTCCACAAAATGGAGGTCCCAAGTCGCCTACTAGCCCGCATGCTGGCTGGAGCACGATCCCTTCGGTGAGAGAGTCGCCACGGCCGGCAACGGGGCAGCATAGTGTCAACTCGATCAAGAGTCCCAAGAGTCCCACTTCGCCTAACGGTGCACCACATACCAGTGGCGGTGTTCGGGACTCCGTGATGAAGCGATTCAGTCTGCTCAGAGGAGTTGGACGGAAAAACAGTCGTCTGGATTTTAAGGCAGATACTCATGGTGGCTTGGTCCATGAAGAGTGAGGCCTTCCTCTTTCTTCGTTTTATGTGAAAATTATCTCTTGTCTACATATCAATTTCCCCTTGTCTCTTTTATTGTTTATTGTTTAATGTCTGGACATCACCAATTCCCGTCAGCGTTGGTTCTGCTTTGGTTTATTACAAGCATTTCATTACCCCGTGTTTGTTGTCTTTTGCATTATGGCGCTTGATTTTGTCATGGATGACATTCCTTTCTATCTTTTCTCTTCTAATGTGTTTCTTTTCTGTCTGTTATGACGAAGATCTCTTTCCTAAATGCTTGGACATTATCTCCCTTTTGAAATTGTGGCGCTGATCGCAGCCGTTTCTTTTGTGTTTCGCTGGTTTAATTTCTATTGGTCTTTGGATTCCTGTAAATTATTCAATTCATGCATTATACATATTTCAAGCTATGTGCTCTAGCTATCTAGCCATTCTACCCCGTAAACTATTCCCCCTCAACCGGCAAATCCAAATCCACCAACCAAGGCGCGTTAACCGCATGATACTTAATCGTCACCACACTCGCATTAACAAAAAGTGTCTCCTCCCCGAACTTCAACCCCTTCCCCCCACCATCACTAGCATTGACATACAAACACCTCTCCTCCAGCATATCCTCCGGGTCCCCACGAATCTTTTCTATCTTCTTCGTCCCCCAATCCATCCTCCCACCACCATACGCCTCATGAATATGCCCAAAGACATGTAACCTCGGCTTTGCGCGCGTCGTCGCCTTCAACAAATTCTCACAACCCACATGACTCCCAGACGGAACCACCTCATCGAAGATCCCATATGGCGGGCCATGCGTAAGCATGATATCCACCCCCGGATAACTGGGAATAGGATTTGGCGCTTGAAAACCGGATTGTCGGACAGCCACGGGAGACTGGAGGTTGTACCGGTCGATATTACGTTCGTAAGGGAACGCCCATTGACAAAATTCAGGCGTGTAGGGTGATGCGTAGACCGTGAAGCGTGTGCCGTTTGATAGTGTGAACGTGTAAAGGCCCTCTTCTAGGTATTGAATTCCGGCGGCGATGGCGTCGGGATTTGTATAAAGAGCTTTAATCTCCGCGCAGTTTTCCAGTTGTCCATTACATCCCTCTTCCTCTCCTTTGCTATCCAGCGCAGCCGTATACCCCAACTTCCGCTTGTGTCTCAAATACCCGAGTTTGTTATAGTATTCCTCGTCAAGCGTGATATCGTGATTCCCCGCGATAACGAGTTTCAGCTCTGCATCTGCATCTTTGAGAATCGCCAGCATTTCCTCGTGTTCATGTTTGTAGCCGACTTTGGTGATGTCGCCGGCGTGGAGGAGGATGTCGGATTTGGGGAGTGGGGCGCGGTAGGCGGAGGATGTGGTTGAGTTTGAGGGGGTCGGGGGGCTGGTGTGGGTGTCGGAGAGGAGTAGGATGCGAGTTTTCTTGGTTTGGGAGGTCATGGTGTTATGGTGTCTTTGGCTGTTGGTGTAAAAAGGTGTTGTGGTCGTTGGTCGATAGTGGTAACTGTATCGATATGGCTGATACTGATAGCGATAACGATAGTGGGGTGGGAGTATGCGGGGTAGCGTATTTATAGGAGAATGCTTCGCGAGAAGAGAATATATTCTGGATTGAAGGGTCGGCATGAATTTGGGAAAGCAACAGGATTGAGAATGACCTATTGATATTGGGAAAAGTTGGGTTGGTGGAACATTCATATGGTATACGCAATCCACGTAATGTCATACGCATAATCCGCGATCTGGACCTGCTATGCTATTTTTGTCTACTAGCTAGGTAGTTGTCGCACCCAGAACATGCGCAAAAGCCTCATCTAAGATCCTCAGACCCTCCTCAATCTCCTCCGCAAAAACAGTGACCGGCGGCGCCAGACGAAAAACACCACCCATACCAGGCAGATTGACAATATTACACGACAGCCCTCTTGCCATAGCCTCCTCTGAAACCGCCTGTCCGAGCTGTGTCCCAGGAGCCCTGGTTTGATGATCAGAGATAATCTCAATACCCTGCAACAGACCCCGGCCTCGCACGTCGCCAATGCACCAATATTTCTCTTGAAGCTTCAAAAGACCACAACGTAACTGGTGTCCGCGTTCTGCAGCGTGCTCGCAGATATGATCCCGCTCCACAATTTCGAGGACTTTGTTTCCCACCGCCGCGGTCAAAGGATCGTTGAGATGTGTCGTGAGCCATAAGAATCCGGCCTCTTTGCAGCCACGCTCGATCTCTGCGGTAGTACTGACAGAAGCAAGCGGAAGACCACATCCCAGGGTCTTGGAGAGGGCAAGGATATCCGGGACGATATCATCGTGCTCAAACGCGAACATCTGCCCCGTACGGCCAACTCCGGTCTGCGCTTCGTCCATGATAAGAAGCATACCACGCTTCTTGCATTCAAGGTTCATGCGCTGCAGATACCCCCGTGGAAAGTCCAGGACGCCACCAGTAGAAAGGATAGGCTCCATGATAAACGCAGCCAGCGACCCCACGCTTTGTCTGTCAATCATCGACCAGCCAAATTCCAGCTCTGTCTCCCAGTCGTAAGAGTCGTCTGACTTCCGGAAGGGAGAGCGATAGGCATAAGGTGCTGGGAAGGCAAGTTGGCCTGGCATGGCGGGCCCGCCTTTTCTTCGACCGGTCGAGTAGGTCGCAGACCCAGCGCCTTGGGTTAGGCCGTGGTAACTGGCTGCGAATGCGATGATCTCAAAATTACCAGTATAGCATTTAGCAATTTTAATAGCTGCTTCCGTAGACTCAGAGCCTGTGTTAAGGAAGAAGGACTTTTCAAGCGGCGCTGGAAGGAAGCGAGCAAGTCGTTCAGCAAGGTCAACGACTGGGTACGTTATCATGTTACTAAGAAGATGGTCGAGCTCAGCAGCGTGCTTCTGGACTACCTCGACGATTTCGGGGTGGGAGTGGCCAAGTAGAGAGCTCATTTGGCCCGATGTGAAGTCGAGGATTTGGCGGTCGTTGGCATCGTAGAGGCGGGCTCCTTTAGTTTTGGTGATTATCACGAGGGAGTAGGGAACTCCGGTGCTCATTAGGTATTTGTCTGCCTTGGAGAAGAATCTAGTAGTGTCTGAAGACATGCTGTATATCTTGAAGCAGTAACGACTAAAAGAATCTGAACGGGAGAAGTGCACAGCAATTCTACTACCAATGGTCCGACCCAAGGTATTTATAAGTATTTCTCTTATCAGCTACCGGACCGACCATTATTTCCAGCAATACATGACCCTTTCAGCTATCTTCCCCGAAACGATGCTTCGTCCGCGGACGTTTCAATTAACCAGTCAACAAACCAATGCCTGCCAACTTCCGCGGAACATTGTCAGTAAACCTCGGCTTTCATGCCTCCGTCTCTAATAGGAAGATCGATTACCGCCCCTACGTAACCATCAGAGATGATAGTGGATCTTCCCATTTACCAATGTCGGCAGTCTATGATGCTATGCTCTTCTTCCTCTCCAATCCATCCAAATCCTCCTCGTGAGGCTTTCGTTGATACAAGCTGGGCCTTTTCGCTGTTAGCGTCTTCCTCATATTTGTGGTGTGAACTCGAACATGGTGACATATCAATCGAGACACACACGACCAATGTGTGATCCTCCTGCCCAGAATGCCCCATATTTGGCAGCGATAGAGTTCATGGCCATGCCTAAGTCGGTGTATGTTACCCTGTCGGTAGGTGGGATGTTATAAGGTCAACAGGTTGAATGAGGTTCGGCATTGTCACAATAATTCAGAAGTGATCCTGCTTGCAAGATTTGAGTTATTGCTGGAGAAAGTTGTTGCGAGAGTTGAAATATGATGGCGCGGGTGCCTAGACTGCCTAGTGTATGCGACTATGTGTCGTCATGGCTCTTTTATATCCGAAGATGGAGGTAAAAGTATGTTTGAGACGAATCTAACAAGGAAGTTGAGTTGCATTCACGATCTACCTACTTCTGTCGATTCACTGCCATTTAATCAAAGATATCCTTTTCAAACTTACCAAGGTCCTGCGCAGAAAGTGAGATGCTTGACTCGAGCATCAAACCTGGAAGGACAGGCATTTCATCAAAAAGCAGACCCAGTGGGAAAGTCAAAGGAGCATCCGTGGCTTCGTTTGCTGTGTCGTTAACCCGAATATGCTGCATACACTCTACCTTATTTTTTTCCGATTGCCACAATTCGAATAGAAGTTCTTTGCTCTCCGTGCAGATGGCCATCAAGAGCGCAACCCTGGTCCTACCACACGAATCCTCCAACCATAATCGCGTGTCCAACTGTAGCCTATGCAAGCAATCCATATCTCCAACCCCAACCACAAAAGAAGGACACTCATTGAGCGTCCTCGTTTGATACGGGAGATACGACAAGTCCGGTTGTATCTCCATCTCCGGCAAAGACTGAGTCGCCGCGCTCACTGACATGAGCATCTCTTCTTCAATCCCAAGTTCTGTAAGCTTAGTCAAGAATACGTTATGCAGCATTCCTTCAACAGTAGCATGTATGTTGTCTCTGAACTTAATCAGCATAGTCTCTTGTTCTTTGAAGAAGCGGACTCTTGGAGAAAGAGGACGGATTTGCTCGCGCTTTTTGTTGAACTCCTGGAAAGATTTATTGGTGACGTTTGAAATGGCGATGTACTGGGCACCTCCTTCTGTAACGTATTCCTTGATTTTTGATTCGACGTGTTTGATGACATCGTTTGCGTTGGTGTAGATGGCTCTGTCGTCGGAATGAATTCTGTAGAGCTCAATTGGATGGATATCCTGCATCTTGGTGGTTGATCGAGAGTAATCTGCGTGAGTTTCTCTTGTGTTATTGTTAAGTGGTTGAAAGGGTCATGAAAAGTAATGTGGATTCTTTTACGTTCAACGACTGCCTAGTTTCTTCCTGGTCATGATGATGACTGGGAAATCACGTGTTGTCCACAAACGGTAATGCTAGGGCTTCCTCCCGCGGAGATTCTAACCAATTGGCGTTAAGGCTTTCTGTCAACCTCCGCGGGGTTTCCACCTCCATGGTGTAGTAGTTAATAGCACCTGCTTTTTGCCAAATCGCCAATAGACCCAATAAGTATAACAATGGAGGCACCAGAAAATATTCAGACAGACAAAAATACAAGACCATACCGATCTCGACTACAGCCAGCCTGCAACTCCTGCCGAAAACGCAAATCCCGATGCAAGACCGCGGGCTCCTCAAGCGCATGTGCTACATGCCAATTGCATGGAACTGAATGTGTCTACCCTCGGGCGACAGATGAGATTTCGCAGCGGAATCGTACACCGCGAAGGTTGGCCGCCAAGTCAAGGCAGGATGGTGGTAAGAGCCCGGCGTCAGGACCGACTAGCCAAATACGGAAGTCTACTTCAAGCTTCAATTACAATCCGCAGGTGTTTCAACAAATCCCGGGTGCAGCTACTCACATTGCGAATACATCAGAAAATTTACCTGGGGCAACAGATCATGAGACTAGACACGAAGACCTGTTCTCCAACTTCATGGGCATCGTAGCCGAGACTGGGGATGATAGCTCTCACATAGTCAGTCCAGCAGTTGCAAACGACAACGACATCCTGGAGAGCTACTTGTCCACCATCCCAGGTGCTCGTAGAAGATGTCTGATTCGACCAAGTTTCGATTCTGGACGGGCCATCAAGCCAGTGCTGTTCAACACCGTATCAAGACGACCGTTGGGTATGAACACGAAGCAAACCCTAGCGGCGACGAAGTGTGAATATATTGAGAAATACCTCGAGCCGGGTGTGGAGGATGTTGTTGACTTGTAGGTATCAACAAGTTGATGGGACCTGGCCGGTTGTTAATATATATATATATATTGTATTTAGGTTCTTCCAAATTGCAAACATTTGTTTCCCAATCTTCGACGAAGCATCCTTTCGAAACGTCTACCTCACACATAAAGAAACGATATCACCAGCTCTTCTCTGCAACTTATACGCCAACACTTTAGTCTACTGGGGAAATTCGCCCAAATTACGCTCTATCCGCTCACCCGATGTCCGTTTCATCTGGAACCAAGCCAATGAGGCTCTCAATTCAGAGCTATTCCTGTCCCCAGGGATTTCAACCGTTATGGCAATTATTCTTAATGTCTGCGGTAGACCAAGTACATCGATGTTCGGTAATGGGGGGATGATTGGTACAGCGGTTGCTTTGTGTAATGCATTAGGTCTCAATCGCGACCCTTCGAATTGGAATATATCACCGCTGGAGAAGAGGTTTCGGATTCGGATCTGGTGGTTGGTCAATGTGCACGATTCTTGGTATGTACCGCAGCTCGTCAGCATACCTCCATCGTGCTCATCCTGTATAGGTGCAGCTTAGCATACGGAACACCACCCCAAATCAACCGCGCCCAGCATGATGTTCCTTTCCCCAAACTAGAAGACTTCTGTGATTCAAATACAACACCAGACCAAAAAGCAGCATCCTCCATCTTCATCACTCTAACGACTCTAACCGACATCCTAGGCCGCTACCTCGAACACATCTACCAAGTCTCAAAGATTAACCACCCATATCCACCCGAAATGCAATCCGCTACATACTTTGAGCACATCCTTAGCAAATGGGAAGAGTCATTACCAGATGATATACGGCGGCTGGTACTTCGCGGCACGCACCTGAATGCACCAGGAGCAGCTAATTTCCGACTGGCTTATCTAGCAGTTAAACTCCTCCTTCGACGTATTCAGCTCGATCTCGACACTAAAGACGCTGCTGTTCACGTCGAAGAAGACATAACTACCTCGCCGTTTTATCTGCAAGCGCAGAGAGCAGCCGAAGATATCGTTCATCTAGTCCAGGAACTAGACGAGTCCCATTTCCGGGGCTTCTGGATCCCCGTTAATGCATTCTCGCTCACTTCAGCTACGACATTCCTCCTACGCAGTGGTCTTCGAATGAGAACCTCAACCTCAACCAGTGGTAATGCACCACTAAGAATAGCGAGAGAGATGACAAGCACACTACATTCTCATCGATTACGTTTTTCATGGGACATTGCGGACCATTGTCTCGCTAGTTGTAGTGATTTGGCGGAGAAGATAAGTTCTGTTGAGGCTGGGGGTGATGGTATGGGGGATACGAGTTTTCTGGATTTTGAAAACCAGGTTGATATGGATTTATCAGCACTGAAAGATTTCTTGGATGGGTTCCCGGGGTTTGTAGATGGACTTGAGATGCCGATGCCTCTTTGATATACACATGCTAGACGAGGGCTAGGTGCGTTTTATTGGAGCCGCTTTCAGGCAGTCAGGTGTCTGCTGTTTAGGATAACTATTGAACGCAGATTCAGGTATGGCCAATGCGTAAAACAATGAATTCATACTAGAACAAATGGAAAGCCCAAGAGTATGAGCATGCAATTAACCGTCCATAGACCTTTTCCAAATTTTTTTTGCCTTTTAAACGTAAAAAACTAGGATCATTCCCATTGAATTGACAGCTCAGAGCTCTACAGACACGGATGCCCAGACCATAATAATTTTCTGGAAAAAATTGCTGAAACTCCGAAACCACCCTTTTACAACGACCATTTCCATATCCACTTTTTTACTTTCTGATCGCACGCTGGTAGAAAGCAAGCTCATCACCCTCCAAGATGTATCCGTCACAGCGACCGCTCTGGCCGGGGCGCGAAGCAACAACGGCGTACAGACGGCTGGACTCGAACTGTCTCTCAATAGTGGGCTCGACCTTGCCGTGGTCAGCGAAGCGAGCAGACTGCTTCTTCTGGACGCTGTTGCTCTTCTTCTCCTCCTCGGTGGTCTCAGACTTGGCCTGGCGTCTCCGGCCAATGGGCTGGCCGTAGTGAGCCTCGTACCATTGTCTGAATGGGGCGGCGTCAATCTGGACGATGGCCGACTTGGTGAGGGTGTTGGTACGGATCAGTTCGTTGTTCGAAGGGTGGTACACGACACCAATGACACGGGTCTTGCGGGAAACGCCCTCAGATCCCCACGAGAAGTTACCGGACTCGAGACGGAGGGCACGGAACTTCTGGTTGCCACCACGGGTACGGACAAGGTGGATTCTCTTGTTACCAAGACGGGTGTTGGAGGGCTGGCGACCCTTGTCGAACGCTCTGTAGGTTGGTCACCGGTAAGAATATGTTCACTTTCACTTTGCTTCCAAAGTCCCTCCACTTAAAACGTGAGCGAATCGGTTTCTGGCATACCTCTTCTTGCGGTAGAAGGCGCGCTTCGCACCGGTGGCCGAGCGCTTGTGACGCGAGTCGCGAGAAATACCCATGTTGGCGTTTGATGGAGGGGACTATTTCTTTTGGTCGGAATAATAACGGTTAGCGAGTGAAATCGAACAGTAGAACAAAACGTAGTGACAGCGAATTTCTGTTCTGATGCTGCTGGTTCCAATCCCGTCGAGTTTTCGATAACCGATATCTTTCTTTTTTTTTTTTGGTTCCCCCTCGAGTATCGACTGATCAATTGTGCACGGGGAACGATCGCGTAGACAAGTTCTTTATCGAGCAGACGAAGAAGAAACGCAAGAGATGTGCCTTGTTTCCCACCCTATCTCGCTAAGGACCACGGCGCAAATCGAACAACCGAAAACCTCTCTCGATGGCCACACAACAAGATCCAAAACCAGCAGAACAAAGCAGTAAAAACCGACAGCCACAGGAAATAAAATAGAACTCACCTCTAATCCTGCAGCCCTTCACCAGGATCGTAGCGGCAAATGTCGTTGGGTGGTCGGGGTGTTGGAGTGCTTGTCGTCGACAGTCGTGAATTTCGCAGTGTGGCTCGCTTGTCGAAGAGTTGCCCTACCCGATGTGCGCACTAGCCCACTTTAAGACTAGTGTACCACGTGACTCGTTTGAATAACCCGATAAGATAAGTTATCACTACGGGGTACTTTCTTATTTGATTCTCATCATTGGCCGTTATTATGAAGTTAACTATTATCACAACCCTATCGGTACAACCATGTTCCCCTAATGCAATCACTTGCGATTCTCCCGCTTTGTCTCCTCCTCCTTGACCATCCCCTTGATCCGTTGGAACGCTCCGAAACCCTCAATAAATGTCGAGGTCATCCACGCGAACCACAACCCCGAGAACAAGGGCACTCTATGAGGTCGCAGTCGCAAAAACGCCAACAGTCCTGACTCCAACACATGAATTCCGACCATGGCCGGGAACAACAACGGCTGAATATCATAGCAAAACTGTGTAAACGCGGGGACTTTCTCAAGCTCCAACGACTCGTAAATAATAGACCCAGGTAGGAAGTTGCTACGCTGGACGAATCCAATATATGTAGCCAGACATGTCACGAAGATGACAATTTGGAAACCCTGGGGTGCTCGATACTCTTTGATGGCGAACTCTGACAGTCCCAGACGCTGCAGTGAGTCCTTGTACATGGCCACCACGCGGGAACGAGTGTCGGAGAAGCTCTTCATAGGCGGGTCAAAGGGAACGCTGTAGCGAACGCCATCAGCTAAGATGACTAGGTCTGAGAGACTGATATCTTCCAGCCGAGCGGATTTGGCATCGCCGGCGGAAACGTGGCAGTATGCCTGAAGGTAGAGCACCAACGAATCTTGGTGGTCTGCGTTCATGTGTTTGATGATGAAGTCCTTGTTTCCGTTTGAAGCCATGGTGAAGTCGCCAAGTTGGAGTACTATTGTATTCGCTCTCTCGTCTGCAATTCGGTCCCTGGATGGTGTGGATGGATTTCGGTCTTCGTATCACCGAGTCGCGTCCGGCAAAATGGATTCAAAGTATCGAGAAGTATCTGTTCTTAGAAAACGGTTTCTTGGGAAGTAGTGTTGTCTGGCAATGAACTAGACAACGAAGATGGTGGCCAGGAATCGTCTCCTATATCGGCATCGGCTCGTCGATCAGCTAAACTCAAGCGGTTACCTCGGTTTTAAAGCGGGATCACTCTAACTGATGCACGTGTGCTTTATGTCATGCCCTCGCTTTCTTGTAATGGACGTCCACTGCAATGATATTGGCCTTGCTGTAGCACTAGCTGAAAATGTCAGAACAGAGATTCATTCCCAGGGAACGTGAAAGCGCATATATCACGTGACTTATACACCCTTCCTCATTGAGATGAGACTGATTCTCAACTCTACTTTGAGTATGAACAAAAACCGCAAGATGCCACTACAGCTCACTGGATTTCAATATATATTAACTGGCTCGATCCAGTAAGGATACCTCCTGTTTTCTATGTTTTGAAGCCCTAATGATGACAACGGGCAACACAGATTCTTCGCATAGCTTTATAAATAAAAAGCCTTTTTGCAAACATCCGTAAAGTCAAGGGTATAATCAAGCCCTACCATTGGGAGGACTACCCATCGTCTATCTCAGTTCGTAGTAGCTTCCTGCTCGATATCCCCATATGTAACCGCTCAAAATGGTCATGGAGGAAATCAAAAAGCGAGTCCGGCGGACATCGCACTGTTGAACTTTGGAAGGACTAATGATCTGCTCTGAATTAGAAGGCCAGATTATATTTATTGTAAGGGTTTATGTGAAGCATGAGAGCAGATTATCAAGGGAGGCGAAGTCCTTTCGTAAAAGATCGTCTTGGGCCGCAGCGTGATCGTTGGAGAATACCATGATGGTAACTGTAAAGAGAAAGCTAGACCGCGATATCCGAAATAACTACCCCTTTGGAGAGCGGGTGCGGCTTGTAGTCCATGGAGATGAATTGAGATATCATGGTTCGTGTTTGTATCGTCGATTGAATAGACGAAGGCTTCATGGGCGCACTGCAAAGGTCTCAACCCGTAGGACTGAAGGAAATAAGCTGTATGTGACCTTGCTTTTGCCTTCCAACATTGCTTTATATATTTTCCATGAACAGGTACCATGTAGCCCGAGTGCTGTCAGTTACATGATCATTTTATGTGAGAAGGTCATCATTATGAAATGCAAATATACCCGACAATTCCACCCCCCAGATCAACAGGGATACTTCTCATCCTTCTGCTTGATGATTGGTAATGCTAGACATGAATAGAGCTCGAGCAGGATTACCCTATGGTATTCTGCGCATCCGCACCTCCCGACTCGAGCAACTGAGGTGCATGCGTTGGTCCCTCTTAACATCAGTGCGTGAGAAGAACCGATGTCAACAAGCCGTTAGTTTAATTGGCGTATCACATTCTATATCGAGATTGCACAATGCATATTAGTTTCCGCCGACACGAGTACCGAACTGATATTCTTGTAATTGTGATTATCGGGAGTAAACTGATGCCACAAACGTCTTGAAGTGGTACTTTCTGTTTCTTTCTGCCTGCCCGTAGGATAGTCTGTCGAACAGGGATACCATCATGTAAAATCATCGTGAAGAAGCTAATTCAACTCAATGGAGACCCATACAACTGGAACCCTGGGACCGCAAGCTAAAGCAATTTCGCTTTACTGGCAGCTATAGGCTTTGAGGGTTTAAAGCCACTCAGTCAGCTTGATTGGATGAACTGTTCTCATAAGAATTTTCGCCATTGCACAACAGACCAAATACTTCAATCATAGTCTGCGATTGTATCTGGGAGTGCGTCATCCCTTTTCTACGAGAATTTACGCTCATTGTCAACCGACATTTGCTGCCTGTTACTCTTAAAGCAATATATCACGACAACATAGTCCTAGCTTGTCAGATACCTCGGCCCATATGTAGACGAACGGATGGATAGAAAGTAGGTAAATTTTGGATAATTAATAGATGAGGCAGTGAAGCTATCAGACCCCATTTAAAGGGACTGGGAATGTGACAGTAGACCTACTAGCTGTTCACTCCATACGCATACGATGGGCAGTTATTCAGTGAATATATTATATGAAATAATCATTATATCTAATCACTAAAGGGAGAAAAAGGCAGGACAGAATCCACACACAAAAAAAAAAAAAAAAAAAAAAAAAAACCATGAGAGCACAGCTGCTTCAAGTCATTCATAATTCATGCACTACATTCCTCAGCATCTCATCCATCGGTAAATAAGTATTTTGTGTAAAAACTCCCCAAGAGCGGAGGGAATACTTACAGTAAAGCCAAAGTGATATCGCCATGAATCTGCGCTTTAAGCTCAACCTCAATCTCCAGATTCAAATCCAATTTGAGCTTCATCCCTTCCTCATCATCTATGCTCTTGCCCTTTCCCTCAGCGGTATCAATGTTTCCCCCGGAGATATGATTGTTGGTTATCGACGGTCTGCCTGATTGGTATGGCTGCACGGCATTGTCTTGGGTGCCGTTGGCATCGTCATAATCATCGTCGTCGGAGTACTCGTCAGAGTACAGCTCGTCGGAGGTATAATCATCGTCGTCATCGTCAACGTAGTCGTCTTTTTGTGTCCTGCGCTGTTGTTGTTGTTGTTTTCGCGGCTGTGTTTTCTGGCTCACTTTTTGAGTTTGAGGTGCGAATTCATCATCGTCGGAGTATTCGTAGTCGTCAGTATCATAATCAGCTTCGGAGTACTCCTCCGGTTGGAGGGTTGGCTGTTGTTGCTGCTTTGTCTGTGCTGCTGTGGCCATTTTGAATACTGACTGGTGTTGATTTGGTAATGAGGATGAAGCAGTATGCGGAACAATGGAAAGGAAGAATGTGGTTGACGAGAACGATATTGGCAGACGCAATGTATGTTATGAGGTAGCAAATAATGTACACAAGATGATAACCGGAAGAATCCCAGGTGGGCAAGTGTAGACTACTATACCTCGTCCAAAAGAACGACATCATTTCGGCCGAAGCACAATCCACTTCTACGCCCATGACGTTAGCGGCGACAATCATATCTGGGGTACGAATGGGCAATGGTAAAATACAGCAGAAACATCCCAGATCAGGCGACGGACCTGAGATCGTCATAGTCCAACCAATACACTTAGTACTATTCTAAGACAGCATACGCCATCGCAAGCCGGAATAACTACCATTCTCGCTTGCATTTCCCGTCCTAGGGCGGTGTTAATGAAACATACCATGGAAATGTTCGTGGTTGCGTCGGTTGCGACAGAGCATTTCCATGGATGCGCCGAGTTGTGCCTGAGAACCGGCCTTTCCACGAGCATCGCAATAACACCTTTTAAAAACGTATCACAATTCGGACGGTATTGTAGGTACTGTGCATTACGATTTCCGGGGTGGACTGGATCCATATGCACCAGAATCAAAGTTGAGATAAATTAAACCCCATCCGCATTGACGTTGTCTGGCGTCATTCTCACAATGGCGCGTCAAAGTGGACCGACACGACTCGATGTAAAATACACAACTCTACACTGATTGGCCTCTAAATATCTGCATCTTGTGCTAATTATATTCCAATTCCACTGTATCTCCGATCAGATTGGTGGACGATCTTTCCAACGGTTTTCCGAGATTACGAGACGTTCCGTTTGGACGTCATAGCCCACCCCGTACTATAGGAAATCATATGGTTATGGCCAACTTAATGCCCGGTTCAGATGTTTCAGATACCGCGATGACGCTTGTCTGTCTTGGGTGTCTGACGTCGGACGCTAAGATCTTGTCTCCATCCCTGCCTATAATATGGATGATATGCCATAGAAATATTGCCCAAATAACCCTTTCCCTTTCCTATTCTTAAGATCTTGGGTTGTCGCTATCATAGCATTAAACATATAACTTTCCTCTTTTCCTTTCTTCACAATGTCAGACCAAGAGAACCAATCTCAACCTCCCTACCCTAATCAGGAATCTCAGAACCAGGGCGAGAATCCCTCGGGAACACCTCCCCAACAAGAACAACCCGAACAAGCACAAGAGCCAACCCAAAACCAAGATACACAAGAGAAACAAGATCAAAACACTTCCAAATCTCAGCCCAACTCTGAAACAAAACAAGAACAAGAACAACCAGAATCAAACCCCGAACCTGAACCTGAACCCGAACAACCCCAACGCCGCAGAAGAAGACCTCGCCCTCAGCCACGCTACAGACAAGACTCCGACACAGAAAACATCGACCGCAGTGAAATGGATGCACCCGCCGTAGCAGAGCGCCCCCGTCGGCAACGCCGTTCCCGCCAACAACAAAACGGCGGGCCCCTCCCCGGTCTCGGGGGTGCAGACCAAGCAGGTGACCTTGTCCAGAACACGGCCGGAAATGCCGTGAATGGGGCTACAGGGTCTGCGGGTAAGGCTGTCGGGGGTGTGTTAGGTGGTAATAGTGGTAAGGAGGAGAAGGAAGAAGGGAAGGACGAGCAGTTGCGGTTGAGGTTGGATTTGAATTTGGATATTGAGGTGCAGTTGAAGGCGAAGATCCATGGTGATTTGACGTTGGGTTTGCTGTCAGTACTGCTCTCTCCTTCCTCATTATCTTTCGCCGTTCTCGTTGCTAACTTGGTTTTCATTGTAGTAACTAACGCGTATCTGACTGTTACGAGTTCAATTGAGTATATATGAGATGGCATGTGGACTAGACTCTGAGCTCCATCTTCTGTTTGATTGTTTTGAACACTTTCGATTCTTATGTGATATATAGCATGCGCTACAGCAATGATTGACGACGTTAAACTTCCATATAATTTCACCAGGCTTTTCCTTGTATGCCAACTTTATAATCCTATGCAACCGATAAGACAAAAGGATATCCCAAACGAAAAGATATCAAGTAAACAGCCCAAAAAAAAAAAAAAAAAAAAAAAAAAAGGCATTGGATGAGACTGCCTTGGCAGGAAACCCAGACGAGACTTCGCAAGGAAATAAGCATATATCCGACTTACACAACACATCTGATCCCAACTCAATACCCAACTCACCATTCCAAGAAAAATCTGTAAGCGACTATAACCCAGCAAGATACATCAATCCATACCCAACCGTGACGATGATGGTAAACGCTGCCAAACTCGACGGGATACCTCTTGTGAAGAAATGGCGGACCTTGAGGTATCGCTGGCCGGTTTGTGGGACTTCGGTCATGATAGCGGCTATAATACCGTTAGTTACTCACATTCACATACTATTCAGAGAGACTATGGGAGCAGGGACGAAACTTACTCATGTTAGGGAATCCACTAGTCGGCAACGCCATTGCAACAGAACAAATCAAAGCACTCGCCATAACAAGCAAATTCGGATGCGGGTCATCCATACTAACACCAATCTGTCTCACAAGCGGAAGCATAATAAGCGCCGCAACAGTATGCGAGATGAACGTAGCGACGACCAGAATCAATGCCGCAAACACAATCAGCACACCATAGAGACTGAGATCCTCGACACGCGCGGTGATCTCATTTGCCAGGGTGTGGAGAAGACCTGAGGACGTGACTGATTTGCCCAGACAGAGACCGCCGGCCGCGAGGATGATAATCGTCCAGAGAAAGTTATTGAAGTCTTCCTTTGTGAGGATACCCGTACCGAAGAAGAGAATCATAGGGATGATGGCGATGACGCCCATGTCGCCGAAGACGTGCTCGAGTTGATGACTGACGCACCAAAGGGCGATGGTGGCTATGGTGACGATGGTGATGAAATATTGCACGCCAGTGAAGCGGTCTTTCACCGGTTTGATGGGAACGATAGTCGTGCCGCGGCCAGGATGGAAGGTTGCGAGGAGCAAGGCCCAAACGAAGAGGATCGAAAGGATGCTCACAGGAATAGCGATGAAGAACCATGTCCCCCAGCTGATACTCGGATTCATGTTCTGCAAGGCGATGATGTTCTGCGGTGATGCGATGGGCGAGGACATGCCTCCGACGTTGGCGGCGAGAGCGATACCCAGCACAAGGGCTTTGGCGAAGTTTGAATCAGGAGGCAGATTTCGCAGCAGGGGCTGAATGATTGAGTAACAAAGGACAGGAGACGCGACGTTGCTGATCCACATACTCAGGAACATGCTAACGAACATATTTGTCAATAGCACCACATGAGGCTTGGTCCCAGCTTTGCTTAGGACAAACATGGCCATACGACGTGCAATGTCATATTTGGACAATGCAGCCGCGATGGTAAAACCACCGAGAAGCAGCATAATGACCGGAGTCCACATGGACGCAAATGCGGCGCTAGTGGCTTCTTTCGGACCCAATCGCTGGTGAGGTTTCTCATCCGAGGTCATGATACGGAGCAGCACAACGAGGAATGGAATGAGAAGCGATGTCACAAACAAAGGGACAACCTCTGTCGCCCACAAAAGACTGACAAAAATAAGCATGGCCAGGCAGTTCTGCTGCTCCGGTTTCTCCATGATCGGAACTGCGAGCAAGATGGCAAACACCACGAATATCAAAATCAGCGCTGCAAAGCTCAAGCTGCACATCCATTGGGGGATATTATAGCGGCCTAGAGGTGTGCTGACTTCCTTGGTCCGAATCTCCAGCTCATCGCCCTGTCGTTGGGCTGCGGCCGGATCATCATCCGCTCCTAAGAGCGTCCGGCGGATACCGACGTTCGCAGCCTGCGCCTTTCTCTCAATGCCAATCATTTCCCTCCAGACGGTATTCCTTTCCCAGATGACATGCTCCCGCAAATGCAAGCGGAGCTCCCGTCGCGCCATGTGCAGGTTCCCTGTTGTGACCACATCCGCATAGATATGTTCAATGTGGTCGATCTTCCCCTTCAGGTCCTCAAGGACAGGATCGGTAAATGGATAGGCCGGAGAAACGGTAGAGTTCATGTAATCCCGTCGTAAGCTGCGGTCGAGAATCTTGTCGTACTTTTTCAATGCCTTCGAAAATCCAGTCTTGTTTAGTTGGACATACGACTTGAGACCACAAAGACTGACATAAACATCGACCACTCGCTTCTTCAACAAAATTCCCGTGCTATGGAGCTCTTTGAGTTTGGGGTCCGACAAAAATTGATCATCTTGATCAAGCAGCCGACTGGACTGCATTAACCTAGAGTCTCCCAGGAACTGGGAGTCACCCAACTCGCTCGTGTGGCCATCCCCCGGGTTCGTGGATTCCGCATACTGTGAACGCAACCTTCCCTGGGCCTCAGATGGAGCCTGTTCGTCATCACTGTCGGCATCATCATCTTCTTCTTCACCTCCGATAGTGTCACTGATACCACTGCGACTCCGGTTATTGCGGAATATGCTATCAGGTCGCCCGACACTCGCCCGTCGAGCTTTAATCATGCTCTCGGTCACGGGATCCATATTGACACCATCTGCCTGAGCAGCATAATCTTCCGCCTCTCTAGTGACATCCTCGACTTCATCGAAGATATCCGATTCCTTGAACTGGAAGAACGAGCATATCTTCTCCAGTTCAGCATCGAGGGCTCGTCTGAATACCACGTCCGAATTCGACGAGTTCGAATCGTTCAGCAACGGTGCGGATTCGGTATCAGTGTATGGCTGGCCGTTTACTCGACGTGATTCCTGTTCGAGCGAGTATATTCTGGTAGTCGATCCTGTAAGCTTCATATTCCACCGTAACATAATATGACACCAGTGAATAAAAAGCGGAGTGGAATCAAGCTCACAATTTCTTCAAATTACTATACGCAATATAATACGCACTCCAATCTGGAACCGCATTAAACTGTAGACTGTGCGAGAACTTCATCTTGGGCTCCGTTCCGTCTCCTCGGTTTCGCTGCTGTTGTCGCTGTTGCTGTCGTTGTCGAAGAGCCTCACTCCAGTATTCCACCTGGTCTGGTGAAAGATGTGGTAGCCTAAAGATATTTTCTTTCTCGTCTGTGCTCTTGAATTTGCCTTCGAGTTCGTCCCAGCTGTCTTGTAATCTCCTATCAACCGACCACCGTCCAATCGCCTGGGGTTCACGAGTACCCTGTCCTGCTGCTGCTGCTGTTGTTTCCGCAGGCGGGCCCGATTCGTCTCGCAACAATTCGACTAACTCGATGTCCTCGTCAGACACGTTGCGGTGGTCGTCGAGGTCGTTGACGTCGTAGCGGTGACGGCGAAGGTGATGGTTGTCCGGCTCAGCGAAGGCACCCGTCGCAGACGCGATGTGTGCCGCGTTTCGCCCGGCAGCATTCGACGACACGGTGTCGGATGAGGGGAGTCCAGCGAAATGAAAGAGAAAAAGTGTAGAGAAAAGACGGTGGGACTGTACTTGTGGATGGGAGTTGACCGGGGTGGATGTAACTCGAATCACGAAGGCCGGTGCTTACTGTACTGATCTTGGCGTGAGCACGCCAATCAATGATGACAGTTCAAGAATGTGTTCAGATGACTACTACTGATTAATATATATTCATTTAGATAGTTGTACTCCGTAGAAAGGAATATAATCGCAGTACCTTGTACCTTATATATGCAGGTCCTGAAATCCTTGCTGCTACTACTACTCGATATATACGGACCATCGGAGAACTACGATTAGACTCACAACATGGAATGTACAATGCATGTTTTGCTCAAAATGACCCTAGACTAAAATTACAAACAGAAGAAACCAAAGAAAGCACAAACACCAGCATTTCCCCGTGTATTCCACATGATATAACCGTGACCTTCATACACCACTCATATTATGCCTTCAAAACTTAACGAATCCTCTTTCCAAGATTGGCACGGCCTGCGATACCAAGCTTGTGCACTTGCTCGCGGCGATCCCACACACCACTGCGGCCCTCTGCAACTGCCAGAACTTCCTGAGCGACCCGGTTGGCAAACTTGCTGTCGCGTCGCTTCTTCGAAGCATCAATGATCCATTGGATGGCGGTTCGGCGACGCTGTCTTTCCGACAAAGGCACAGGAATCTGGACGGCCGCACCACCACCAGCGATACCCTTCTGGCTACGGATCTTGATCAGGGGAGTAACCGAGTCCACGATCAGGGTCAGGTAAAGCACAGGGTCGAGCGGCAGTTGAGGGGCGGGAGGGCCGGGGAGGAGACGGCGTTTGGGGTTGACCTGAGGGGGAGAGGAAGTTCGTAGTGTATCCAAGATGTGGGCCATATTCTGCTAGATAATTAGCCTCCTGCGCAGACAGATAGAACCGATTGTATGTATACCTTCTGAGCAAGACTCAACTTCCCATCTTCCATAAGCAGCTTGGTAAACTGTTCCAAAAGCGGTTCATATCGTGATCGAAAGTTGTCGGTCTTAGTCAAAGGCTTTGGAGCAGAGAACTTCAGACCGGCGAGCTCGGCCGCTTGGAAGTCGACATTGGCGACCATATCGGCAACCAGGGAAGCCGAGGCATCATCAGGTTTGGTGTTTTTCTTCTGCAAATTTTCCAGACGACGGGTCGAGGTCGAGAAGGAGCGGCTGCCGGACGGTTTCTTCATCATATCCTGCATCACCTTAGGTGCGTTCTTCCTAGCCTTTTCGTCGCGCTCGAGAATCTATAGAAAAGTAAAACCGGTCAGACACAATGCATAATGGCCACATGGCAGGCAGAAATACCTCCGAGATGGGAGTTCCCTGCTCCAATTCCGGCGAACTCGGAATCCCATCGCATCGCTTTTCCTTCGACATGATCCGGTCCGTTGCGGCAGCTTCCTCGCTAACATGAGGCAACGCATCCTCCGTAGGACCCTTCAGTCTATCCGCCTCCTCTGGTGTCTCCTGTTTCTTATCCGATCCCGACGAATTCCATCTTTTTTGTAGACCGACGGCATTGCTGGACCGGTGCGGGAGGTTGGCGAGGATACTCTGCCGCGCATTGACAGAGGGAGTAGACGAGCGTAGGACGGGAACGGCCTTTCTGGCCGAGAAAAGATTGAGTCGCGGAGGCATCTTTCTGGCTCTTTTTGGACTGTTAATGGCAGTGATGATTGAATCCCCGCCGAAATCAAGGCTGGTCACAGGACGACAATTTTCCGCTGAGTCATCAATACCAAGAATCTCTAGTTAACTATAGGACTACAGAGTACCAGACCTACTCCAAAATGAAGCGTTTTTGATTCCGTGGCTAGGAGTTCCGATTGCGAATGTCAATCAGCTCATCTAAGCCTTTTCTTCCAAATACTTTCTGCTATAAAACAGAAAGGAGGCAAATCTCAATATAAGTCGCCTGTGGTCGTTGCTATTCAATTGGGCTTATTGCCTGTTTTGTTTATTCCCGGGATCATAGCATGTACAGAGCTGAGCCCTGGTTACGCGTAGTGCTTTTTACAGGATAATCCATAGATTACGAAGGTCTCATTATGAAAAGGTCCACTGAACATACCAACCAATACTCAATTTCACCAGATCCTAGGCTTCGATCTTTCAACCGAATGGATCAAGGCTCCATCTTCTTTTTCTCCAACCACCTCCTCAAGTCAAAACTCTTCTCACTGAACAGCGATAGGTCTGCGTTCTAAATAAAGATAACCTCACGAGTTCTAGTACCATCATCCTCAAGGTGTATGTGACAACCTTTCCCCCCTATACACATGCGTTTCATAAGCAACCAACCGATTCACTTCTTTCTCTGGCTTGACCTTGTACGCAACGCCTGAAATTCTCTGATACGCAAACTCATTTATAACAGCGGGATATTCACCTCACACCTTGAGAGAGTGCCCTTCCATGTAAGCAGGACGAACTTTTGGCTAAGACTAGTAGGATAGTTGAGGACCTCGGGGCCAGAGTTGCTGGGTTCATCAAGTTGTTGTAGAAGTAATAAGCTTTAAGCGTTCTGGCTAAAAGGAGGGATCCGAGTACAGTTGGGTGTGAATGATTTTGTGGACGATTAGGGGGTTCGTGGGGGGTTGTTTCTATTTTGACGAGGTTTGCTGCTTAAGAGTTAGCTTTTCTTAGGGATACGATATGCAGTAAGGATTACTTTGTATGTACTAAAAGCAATGGCATTAGTTGATGCCTGCGCAGTCTTACATATGTCGAATGCCTTAGGCCTTCATCCATTTTCTTAGCACTTTATATGGGTGTTCACGTGTAGAAAGAGTAGGATTAAACAGATGACACGAAGTTGCAGTAAGAGAAACAACATAGATCGTAACAACGCCAACGTTAATAAGCTAACATCTCATGTGCAACTTTTATCCAAAAAAAAAAAAAAAAAAAAAAAAAAAAAAAAAAAAAAAAAAAA